TTATTATGACTGATATATATGATTATAATGCAAGTTTTGAAAATAAATATTATGTAACTATGTAGATTGATAGATGCTTTGTTATATTTGTTAGGTTTTGTATTGTTAAAGTAGAAATTCTTAGGAACTATTAGATGCTTACCAGCTCTTATGTCATGTTTGTATAGAGAATTGAATTTATCTGATGCTTCAAGTGAATCATAAATTTTCTTTAATTGTTAGATTCCTCTTAACAGATTGTGAATTAAATATTATTTCTCTAGCTTCTTTATGTTTTGGAGTTTAAATTCAGAATTCAAAAGTAACATTGAAATCTTTTTGGCAAGAAATGGTAGAACTTAACTGTTTAGTATTTAAGAGATCATTTGGAACATTGTCAAATTTGTTATTTGATTATAATATAAATTTTTCGTATACATTTTGTTTATTGTTTACCGTTAAGTTTTAAGTAAATAATTTAATAATTGATTCCATAGAGACACTTATAAAATTAGAATGCATACTACAATTTTGGAGGCCGAATTTATAAAGTTTGCCTCGAACCCCCAAAATCATAGAACTGGCACTAAGCAGCAAAACACTAATTTGTTGAAGGGAATGAGTATTAAAAAGGTGCCATCAAGAGTCTCGGTTGAAAAAGAATTTCTTTCAATAAAATTTCTGATGCATCCTTCGGCATATAATTTTAGCAACTTTTTAAAGAAAGTAATGATATACATAATACACCAAGTAATAAAAATCAAACATAAAAGTGCAAGCATACTAGATCCGATGTTACTTTATCCTAATTTTGAACTTCAAGGATTACCTTTCGTTCGACCAATTATATTCTTTTCTTGTTTACGAATAGATACTGGCTGCAAATTGGAAACCTTTTATGTACTTTAATTAGGTTTCGAGAATTGGAAAAATTCATATTCGCTTTATGAGTTTTTACTTCTTATCACGCATAATTCATCCATTTCTTCTACAATTTATAAACCAGATGATCAACCACGTTGTTGCTCATTTTGCTAGCCAACTTTTTTATTTAAATAATATTTCACTTTCTTGCATTGACATACATACGGTAAGTCAACATACTTAGTCCTTGTTTGAGCCCCATTTGGGAGAAAAATATATTTTTGAATAGTGATTTTTAAAGAATTTGTGGTTAAAAAAAAATCAATTTACTTATAAAATTATTTTTCTAGAGAATGCGTTGTTGAAAATAAATTTTGAAAAAAATAAGTTTCAAATAGAATGGGGCTCAAACAATGACTTATTTTTCATGATTATCATGTCGGTTTAGTATGTATTAACATTGCGTTTACTACTTAATTTATATAACTATCTTTATCGTTACTAATCACAGTGTTTTTTTTTTTTAATTGAAATCTATCTTGGAAGCCTAGACGATCGATGTGTCTATTAATCTAAATTTAATAATAAAAAATTAGTTTTAGTAAGCTTAAATAAAATTATACAAATATAAACTTTATTATGTGATTTTAACTTGTATTTTTTTTTCTTGAACTTATATGTATTTTTTCTTTCCAATTGTAATTTTGTACAACAACAACAACAACAACAACAACAACAACAATAATAATAATTGGAAGCGTAATATGATTTTAAATTCATAAACTAAAATAAATTATTTAAATAAGTAAAAAGGGGATAAATAACGAGTCTTAAAGATTGATTGGTAGAAATTAGGCTTGATTGAGCATGATTAAATTTGAAATCAAAATTCATATCTAACTCGTTCACCTCCGTGTACTTAACATGTTGGCTTTACCATAATGTAATCTGTTTTGCAATTTGTACATTTGAGGTTGACAATCCAATGACATGTACAAATAGCAAAACTCTAATGTTATATTCATACTATGCTTCCATTTGAAACTTAAAAGTTGGATTTTGCCACATGTACATCCTTTTTATCGAATTTACACTTGGCAAGATCTCCCACAATCTTTCACAATAAACATTCTTAATCCGGCCACTATAGTTTTGCCAGCCAAGCATATGTACACTAGGGTGGCAAGAAAATTTGTACACCCTTAAAAGTTGGTGATAAGGATTGAAATTTTAATAAGTATTTTACTATTTTATCCAACTAGTAATGCTATTTAATCTTATTGGAATTGCAATCCCAATTTAAATGACATTAATATAACATTAAATGAGAGTGTAATCTAAACTGGGATTGCAATCTAATGAGATTACATAGCATTACTTTCATTTAGTTGTTGAATATTCAAAAGCAATCATCACATTTCCATTGATTTACATTAAAATAATAATTTTACTTCATATTAGATAAAGTGGCTTGTAAGTTATCTTCAATGTGTTGTTATGAAATTTAATCCTATATATAGTGAAGATTAAAATCAAATTTTTAGTATATTTTGATAAAAGTTGATAAAATATATGGTTAAAAATTATGAAATCTATAAAATATGTGATTAAAATTAATTGTTAACTTTAAATTAAATTAGAATCAAAATTTAATCCACATCAAACATGAGTTTAATAGTATTTACTCAAACGTGTGAAAATTCAGGGGTGGACCTACATGGATCATGTGGGTCAATTGGCCCCACATTTTTTTTCTAACGATTTACTTTGACGCACTTATTACGGGATTCCAGATGAAGTCGAAACATCACATTCTTTAGCATTCTTCATATCATTTCGAAGTGCTTATTATCTTTATTGCTTGTTAATGGCATGCAAAACGATCAACCTTAGCAAAAATTATGATACATCAAAATAGGTCGTTCCAAACTAATATTTCTATAATTTCGATAATATACTAACTTTCAAAATTCGCCGATAATCATATACTATCCGAATCAACAAATCACATATGTCATCTATAAGTTCATTTCGAAAATTATATCGTAGTCATATTAAATGGTCCAAATGAATATAAAAATAGTTAAATATGCGTCAAATGTAAATCTTAAAAGAGACATTTAAATCATCTTTCTTTAAAAATGTTCCATAATTTCATTAACGTTTATTATTTTTGCACGATAAATTTTTCAATATAATGTACATAATTTTATTAGAAAAAGTCACATGGAATGTGACATAAAAAAGTTTTAGGATCGTTACGGATTGAATGTAATTTGAATTATTTTCAAATTACTTTTGCATTAAATTTAAATTTCATTTACTTTCTAGATTAAATGTGAATTTTATTTCAATTCATTTACTTCTTATATTCAATTTGATTTACTCCGTAAGCTTAGCATGTATCAACGAAATGGTAAATAAAACTATGTAAGTAGCAATGATAATGATATAATTATAAGGCAATTTCAAGTATTAAAATGCGTATCAACTTATTTTCATTAATATTAATTATTTTTAAAAAAAATTCATTTAAATTTTTACCACACAACACAAAAAGTTTGGGTCCAGCCCCATGCAAATTGTTAAAAATAAATAAAAAGACCGATAATCTTATAAACAATTCACATATATAATCGGTAATCAACAAATTATAAGTTATGTAAAACTATGTGAAATAACATGTTAACTTTTTTATTAAAAAATCTACTCATATAATATTTTCGAAACTCAAAAGAGTGGGCTATCTCAATCTAAAATTTGTGTTGCCTCTCTTCATTAAAATGCAATCCTCTAGCGGTAACAAACATTATTCCTTAAACAAGCAAATCAGAAGGCACAAATTTAAGAAGGCGAAATTTAAGAAATTAAAAGTTGGTTCGTCAAGTACAGGAACATTGTTCATATTTCTTCATAGAATAACTTCTTGAAAGTGTCGATATGCTCCGTCTGCAAGCACAATGCAGCAGTAAATGATCCATCTCTTCCTGGTATGATGAAAGATTTCCCATCGAAACCCATTGTTGCAGGGCCCATGTGAATTACATTTCCCAACCCAAAATCAGCATCATATATCGACATAGCAGTCCAGCTTGTGATTTCCATATTAGGGTTTCCGAAGAAACCCCCCAGTGCACAACCTACTGTGTGAAAATTACGATGTATAGCGACGTTTGGTAGATTCTTGATCAGTGCAAGATAAGATCTTACATATTCATCTGTTACACTTTCAACTGCTTCACGTATCTTACTCGAAGCATAAGCCAAGGGGTTTGAGAGCAACTCTCCTGCTGTGGTTGTTGCTGCTTGGCGTAGATTGGCATTACCAAAGTAATCTTGTGGTAATGGTGGCTGCATTCTATTTCTAAAGTCGACAGGTATGTTTAATCTCGTCAGTTGATTGTTTACATGACCCCGCGCTTTGGATGCGCACCTCCACATATGCCCAGCCACAGCCTCGTATCTGTATGAAATTTGTATCTTCATTGGCCTTGCTCTTCAATTTATCGATTTGTTCTTTGCTTAGATTCAGCATGGCCACCGTTGTAGGCTTCTTCCGCTCCTGCATATTGTCCGATTGGCCTACCAGGAGTGGCGGCTGTGTCAACAGGACCGTGTGATCAAATTTCGAACTGGTTGTTGTTTCTGCAAGCTGCAAAATTCTCCTATCCAGAAATGGGACGTTGCCAATCTTCTCACAGCGTGCAAATCTAGCCCACTCCCTGACAAAATGAAGTGCAGCTGGGCCATCTACTAAAATGTGTGAAATCCCCAAGCCTAGAGAAATTCCGCCACAACTGAATTTAGTTAGTTGCGCCAAAACCAATGGCTGCTCGTGAATTGGGGTAGCTCTATAATCCAATTTCGGCATAAGCTCTCGCGTTTCTGCGTTTGGAAGAAAATCCTGAAGCTCAAAAGCATCAATTTTTGATTCAGACTCAGCTTCGACAAGAATTGCTCCCTTAGAATTGCAGTGAAGTTCAAGACGGCCACCACCAATCTCGTGAAGGCGCCCTGCCAGTGGATAGAAGAGAACGAGTACTTTGCTCAATGAATCTTTTAAAATACGGATTGCATCTGGAAAGATCAAATCAGTGCTAGGACGAAAAAAGTAGACAGTGGGAGCGTGGGTCACGGCCTTAATTTGATCAACTTCTGATATATACATGATCTCATTTGGCGTTGGCTCGGCTGGTAGTATCGTATGAGTTGCCTTCACGGTTACCATTCTCACCCAGATAGGAGAGGAAGAAAAAAATCGCAGGAAAATTGATCCCCGTGAAGGTTTCTACAGAGGCAATTATCGTGGACAATCGAGGAGACTTCTGGATACCTTTGAATGACAGTTTTGCTATTTGTACAAGAGGGAGGCCAGCCGTCATTCGAGTTGTCAATCCCGGATATATACAAAACTCTTAAAATAAATCGGCAAATTATAAAATTACCCCTTCTACAAACCAACAATGCTGTATGTACATCAATGGCCGAGCCAAGATATTTTTTTGGGTGGGCGAAAATTATATAGCAAAAATACTTATAAATAATATAAATATAATTGTTCACGATGTATTTCGTATTTTGAAAACGTCGTATATGTAAGTGCTATGACCTAAATTCAATCAATTTTGAACATAAACACTTTTAATATATACTAGTGGTAAACACGTGTATTGCACATCTTATGTATTAGATGAATAATATTTGTACAATTTTTTAAATACTAATATTGTTTTTAAAAGTAATTGTGGTAATTGATATTGTTAAAGGAAAAATTAAATTTTTTTAAAAGAATGTATATAATATGAAAATGTTGAATAAAATTAAATGTAATATTTTGATTACAATGACACGTCTCTGTACACAGTTAATAAGGAATGATAAATGGGATGTGAATATGAATGCGCTAAGATAGAAGGATGGAGGAGAGAGTTGGTTAATCTTCACATTCCCATTAATTGCCCGTTATTAATTGCTACCAAATGAATTAGATGAAATCATTAGTTTTGGAAAAAAATGTTAGAATCTATCTAAATTTAATTATGAATTTATCCCTTGAAATTAAAAGCAAAACCAATCAACTCTATAATTCAACATTTCACCTAAAATAGGTAATCTTGTTCATTTTTCAATTTTTCTCCGACAATTCTTGAATAATATTACTTTTGACTGAGAGCTCAAAACCTATAATCAATACATCAAGAAAATACTGAAATATTTAAAATGTAAAGATAACTAATAGATTTTCACACTAGTATTTCAACACTTACTACAAACTAACTCTCCAATGCAACATTGCTATCTGAGTAGACAGTCTTGCTTCTTTTCAGTTTTTCTCAACCAATTATCGGATAAAAAGCGCGAATGCAAATGCATAACTGAAACATCCAGAAAGTGAAAATACTGACATATTTAAAAGTAAAAGATCTATAGTGGAATAATATTAAATACATCGGAATAGAATGAAGGTATTACTTTTAGAGTAATGCTATTCGTAGTCCCTCACTACGGTAATCGTCCTACGTAGCATACACATGGCATGTGATTATTTGATACATTAATGTGGTAGTTTTTCTATTCATTAATGCATCAAATAATTACCTGCCATGTGTATGCCACATAGGACGACTGTTGTAGTGAGCGACTGCAAATAACATTATTTTTACTTTTATGTGGCGAATGAATGGAGTTATGGACAATGGTGGTTTCGAAGAGCAATCAATGTCTACCTTTCTCCCTCTTCTTATTTATTTTATTTTATTTTTATTTTTATTTTTTGCGTGTGTAAAGAAAATGAAAAGGCTATGAGCAGATGATAGGAGAGGCAAATGATTCTTCATATTCCCATTATCAGTACATTAATGGGGAAATAAACACGCTCCTAATTATGAATTGAATTTATGCATTAATGTTATTAAACTATAATTATTTTATTATTTATATTATTATTGTTACTAAATATAATATATTATAATATATAAATACTAATAATTAATAATTACTTAATTAATTTCTAGGCACTCATCCTTGGCTGATGGTGGATCTAGGTCGGGTTCCTTCATCGTTGGAGTGAAATGGACCGAGGACATACGGTTCTAACGATCGCTAGCGCTCCTTCATCGTTGGAGTCAAATGGCAGATTTCTTCGTATTGGTTTCTGGGATTTTCCAAGATAACTAACAAATTGTTTGAATTTATTATCTGGTGTCAGTATTTCTTTTACATTATTATATTATATTATGTATTGTAAATTCAGCAATATTGAATAGTACGTTATAAAATTATTTAAATTCTAATAACAATTGAAGGATGAATTAGAAATTACACAAAATCAGTGAGGGTATTATCGCCTTTCATAAGTTTCTCCCCAATTGAATTGAATAGTAGGTTATAAAATTATTTAAATTCTAATAATAATTGAATGATGAATTAGGAATTATACAAAATCAATGAGGGTATTATCCTCTTTCAAGAGTTTCTCAACAATCCTTCTTTTTTTAAATACTGTAGATAATTGATATAATTTTATGGCAGATATATTATTTAATTAAATTTCAAATAAATTAAACAATATGGTACGTAAATTCAAATCCTAGTAATTTGTAATTCATAAAGAGTTGTGATTGTGAAATATAAATTACAGATAATTGAATCTTAAATCATCCATAATAATAAGTAATAGCGAGATACAGATATTGTTATCACGGATAAACCATTACATGTGACATTTCTTACTCATGAAGTAAGTAACTAATCTCGCAAGCTAAAGTGTGGTAATACTTAAATGAATATATGGATGTTTGTTATAGAACAAAACATTAGAGACTCGCTGGAGAAATTCTACACAGATAACTATCTAAGTGTTAATGATTAATCTCTAATGTTCGGTAGTAGAATTGGTCATTTAACTTGAGGATATTTATAGTGCATTATATGAGAACATACATTGGTGATGTTGGATGTTACTCTACCAAGGGCCGCTAATACGACATCGTTCAGATATATCAAGAATCATATGAAAGTTGTGAATGATCAATAGATGATTCATCACTCTTATATAGTAAAATATTATGATCTACATTTCATCCAGTTAAATTCATAATGAATCATTGGCTAAGGTATACTCATAAGTTGAAAATGAGTTTTTAACTTACATTGACTTAATAGTGAGATAAAAAAATATGATCGATAAATGAGATTGGCACATATCCATATCTCGTAATTGATCGGATCATGTTGTCGAAAAGATTATAATTTTATGGTAAACAAATAAGTTTGGTTTGTCATAACACATGACATTCTCATCACATATATTGCTCTGACACAATGCTAGGTGTCAATTTCGGATGACGAATTTGAATTAGTGATAAATTAAAATTTGTGTAAAACTTATCAATTTTGATTAGATCAAAATAATAATTCAAGTCGATCGACATCGTGATTGAGAACCTAATAAGTCACACACAAAAGAAGAACTAAAAGAATTAGATTTACCAATTAATTAATCGATAAGTATTGGACAATCGATTAATTGGATTGTTTGGTAATAGACTGAAATTAATTAATATGATTAATTCATGAACCAAATTTAATTAATTGGATTAATTAAATATTGAATCGGATTAAATTAAGAGACGACAAAATCCACTTAAACTTGTATTAATAAGTTGATAGGGTTTAAGAAATTCAGTATAGAACATAATTATTCTTGTTAGCACAAGAAAAGTAAAAACTCCAATTTTCTCAATTAAAGTTTGACAATTAGACTGCTGTAAATTGTAGATCGTATTTGTTCAAATTCAAAAAAAGTAAAGAAATTTGTAAAATTCAACAAAGGTATTATTCTAAATATGATTTTTATCTAAACACAAAGCAGATTCTTGGTAAAAGTTGAATTTTTTTAATTAAAATTTGCTGTGCATGTTAAGTAAATTTCCAACAGTATAAATATATTATTATCAATTTCGGCAAATATATTTTTTTCAACAGATAAAATACTGTTTTGTTGTATCCTAAATCTTTTCAAGAAATTGTTAATTAAAACCTTCCAAGAAGTACTTAGAGATTGCACATAGACCAGAGATGAAAATTGAATTCCCAATTCCTTTAATCACGCTCTTTGATCCCTAAACTTTCTGTGAACAAATAGTTACAGAAATGAACCAAATGCAAACAATTAAAAATGCAAAGAGAATGTTCTAGAACTTAAAATTATTTCAATGTTTATTTGTGTATTTTTGAACTGACTTACGACATCAACTTTAGGCTATAGGTTTAGCTTTAATGGAGCTAATAAGGCTTATCTTATAAAAATCAAGTCCTACGTCGAGATAGTCCGACATAACAGGCTTCAACTTTAATGGTTGGTAGAGGTGTATTTGTCATTCTGCAAATCATTAGCAGTTGAAGTTAAAATCGAGTTGTTTTAATAAACATATTGACAAAATCTTGATTTTCCCTCTGGGCCCTATATTTATTCAAGAAAGAAACACGGACACACAATAAGCATCTGATATTTTACTACGAGAATTGAAATGGGTAAACTCCTAACTACAAATAACACTGGAAAAAATAATATATTAAGAAATACATAATAGGATAGTAAGGAGGAACCTTTTGATTACCTTTTCTTTTTACTTTAAAAAAAAATAAAAATCTGATTTTTTGGGTGGTCCACCAAGTGTAGCTCAGCCCCTGGTTGGCACACTGGTTTATACTCATGTGAGTTGGCAGATTTTGATGCATTGATTTTAATAGTAAATTTTTCAATCAATGACCAGATTTTTGACACATAGATGGTGTCAAACTAGGTGAACACAATTGGGCGTACAAGTAGCTTAATTTTTTTCCAAATCACATTATTGCTCATTTTGCTTGCAAAGTTTTTTATTTAGATATTTCGCTTCCTAGCATTGAAGTTTAATTAATGTCTATAAATAAGGACAGGTAATGTGTTCATATAACTTAATATATAGTCCCTATTTGGTTTTCTATTAAAATCTGAATTTAATCCCAAGTTAAAATCAATAATTAATTTTAATTACATATTTTACAATGTTCAAAACTTTTTAATCACACGTTTCATCAACTTTTATCAAACTCTATTAAAAATCTAATTTTAATATACACCAAACGGAGAGATAGTATAATAACTTTTAAAATTGATTTTTCCTTAATGTGACAGGTGCCGATCAGGAGGATCAAGAAATTGACAAAAAATAAGTAATATAACCAATAGATACCATTCAAATATTTACTGGGATCTGATATCAAAATAAGATTTATGGATTTATTTTAAAGATCAATGAAGACTTACACAATTTCTTATATTTTTTCCAATGGGTGATGATTATATTAATACCAATATTTTTAGTTGCACCGCTTTTTAATTTC